GATTCGGTGGTCCCCGCTGTCGTGCCAGTTGACTTGGTGCCCCCGCTGTCTGTCGTTGCCAGTTGACTCGGTGCCCGCTGTTGAGCCGGATGACTTGATGCCTGATGACTCGGTGCCCGCTGTCGTGCCAGTTGACTTGGTGCCTGCTGTTGTACCAGTTGACTCGGTGCCAGTTGACTCGGTGCCCGCTGTCGTGCCAGTTGACTCGGTGCCCGCTGTCATGCCAGTTGACTCGGTGCCCACTGTCGTGCCAGTTGACTCGGTGCCCGCTGTTGAGCCGGATGACTTGATGCCTGATGACTCGGTGCCCGCTGTCGAGCCAGATGACCTGATGCCTGAGGACCCAGTGCCTGCTGTTGAGCCACATGACCTGATGCCTGATGACTTGGTGCCCGCTGTCGTGCCAGTTGATTCAGTGCCCACTGTTGTGCCAGTTAATTTGGTGCTTGGTGACCCGGTACCCGCGGTTCTGCTAGATGGCTCGGTGCCCGCTGACATGCCCGGTGACTCGGTGCCCACTGACTTGCCAGGTGACTCTGTGCCCGCGGTTCTGCTAGATGGCTTGGTGCCCGCTGACATGCCCGGTGACTCGGTGCCCGCTGACGTGCCTCTGCCCGCTGCACAGCCCGACATGCTAGCCCCTGATGTCCAGTTAAACTGGCCCATAACTGATACCCAGCCTGCTCCTGGAAATCCTGTGCCCAGTGACCTGCCTTCCTGGGTTCTCCTACACAAAGAGAAGTCTACCAGCAGGAAACCCAGCCAGCTGGTTTACTCCGGCAGTAGGATATTCAGCCAGTTACCTGACCCGGGCGGTGGAACATTTTGCCCACTAAGGACTGTTTGGAGCGTCCCGAGGCCGCTCCTTGAGGGGGGGGGTACTGTCAGGGAATGGACTCAGCACTGGTGGTGGGACTCACCTGCCGTGTGGGCTGCAGTACCAGAGCTGACCAGCGGGTGCTCTCAGCACTGGTGGTGGGACTCACCTGCCGTGTGGGCTGCAGTACCAGAGCTGACCAGCGGGTGCTCTCAGCGCTGGTGGTGGGACTCGCCTGCCGTGTGGGCTGCGGTGCCGGAGCTGGCCAGCGGGTGCTCTTGGCAGCCAGAGGCTCACGGTCAGCCAAGCCTGGGGCTGATTGCGGAGGGGTGTATTTGAGCCATGACCAGGCCTGTGCTCTGGGCCTTGGTGTATGTTTTCCCATGAGCCTCTGTACCTGGTATCCTGTGTTCCTGCTTTGTTGCTGACCCGGCTTGATTCTGACCTCTGCTGACCATCTCCTGTTGAACCCCTGGCTTGCCTGACCATCCTTCTGCCTGATCCCCTGTACCGCGCTGTCCGTGAGTTACTGAACCCGGCTTGTGACCTTGACTATTCTCTGCCTGCTCCTTTGGTACCTTGCTGCCCGCACGTTGCTGACTTGGCCCGTCTGACCACGCTAACTACTCTGCCATCCATCCATCCTGCACGGATCCAGCCGTACCTGCACATACCTCTGGCGGATCCTCTACCACTAGCAGGTGTACTCAGGGGCCGCGACCTGGTTCCTGTCTGCTCCAAGTCCATCCCCACCATCAGGGGCCCTGGTGAATAAGCAGGCTGGGACTTAGACTCCGCGCCCTGGGGAATCCTGTCCTGGGGACCACTAGAGGTACCACCAAACGGTCATTACAGAACCCTACGGCCGGCCTGACCGTTCCACCTCTCCAGCCCTGACTACGCCTGTGTTCCTGCACCTACTAAGATTAGTGGAAGGTTGGTTTGTTCACTGTGCGTTTATATATATATATCTGGGTGGCTAATAATAACCTGTATTATTATACTATACCTGAAACCTGCGTTTCCCTGTGTCAGTCCACACCTTTCTGGTCATTCCTTGATTCCTGACACACTCCCTGCCCCCTAGTAAAACACTTCCATCACACAGTTAACCCTTTAATTGCCGCTCATTGTTAACCCCTTCCTCCCCAGTGCCATTAGTACAGTGTCAGTGCTTTTTTTTTTAGCACTGATCACTGTATTGGTGTCACTAGGGATGTCAGTGACACCAAGTCAGTTCCCGCCAGTGTAGGAATGCCTGCTGCAGTCCCGCTGTAAGTCGCTGATCGCCGCCATAAGTCGCTGATCACCGCCATTATTAGTATAGAAAAAATTCCAGTATCTATACCAAGATATGGCAAGATAGTTTGGGACTTGGTTTCATTCTTTTTCCATATGGGGTACCACTTATACCTGGACAATTTTTATTCATGCGTGCCACTATTTAGACATTTGTACAATCTTGGAATTGGCGCATGTGGCCCTGTGAGACCTAATGTGTGCTCACCAATAGAAGTGGGTGGATGCAGGGAGGTATATTCTAATGGCGGGCATACCACACACTTTTTATGGAAGAGATTTCTTTTTTTCATTCAGCCCACAGGCTGTATACAAAAAAAAAGACCACAGCATATATAGCCAACAAGGACCAGCGACGTACTGGTACATCACTGGACTTTGAATGATTATACCAGGAAGATGCCTACAGCTGCAGGCATCATCCTGTATCGTTTTTTTTTCAGCCGGCGATCAGCTTTCATGTAAAAGCAATTCTAGTGGCTAATTAGCTGCAGAATTGCATTTACAAGCAGCGGGAGATATTGCCCCTCCTCCTCTGCTGCCTTCCACGGCCTTGTCGGGCAGTCCCGTGCCATCAGGGGAACCTGAGATTACACCCGGTGTTTCTGCCAGCTGACCATAGAGCTAATTGGAGACCAGAATGGTGCCCATCATCTCTATAGTCTAAGAGACCGAAGCTACGAGCATTTCATCACTTCAGTTTCGCAGGATATAAACAGCGCCATTTGTAAATTGGGAAAGCATCTGATCACACCTATCTTGGTGACATTAGATAATGTAAGGGCAGAGGAGATATCTAGAGTCTGATAGACCCCAGATTTCTCAAAAAAGAATATATGACAATGCCCATTGAAGTTATAGGGGATATTTCCATTCCCAGTGATAGCATTAAAAGTGATAAAAAAAAAAAAATGACAGGAACAGTGTAAAAATAATAATAATAAAAAAAAAAAAAAGCACCCTGGCCTCCCTGCGAGGGTTGCACCATGCATGTGAGGTATCGCCGCGAATGTCAGATCAAGGGAAGTAATTATAGCACTAGACTTCCTCTGTAAATCTAAAAATGGTAGCTTATAAAGGCTTTTAAAGCGTTGCCTATGGATATTAAAAATGTATGCAGTTTGCCATCATTGCACAGGGCATGCACAATTTTAAAGCATGTCATGTTTGGTATCTATTTGGTCGGCATACCATCATCTTTTACATCTTACCAAATAATTGGCCAATATATCGTGATTTTGTGCATTAAAAGTGAAAAAAGACGTATTTTTTTTTTAATTTGCGCTTGAAAAAAATCACTGCGCAAGTACTATGTGAAATAAAAAATTGCAGCACCCACCATTTTATTCACTAAGGTGTCTTAATTAATAAAATATATAATGTTTGGGGGTTCAAAGTAATTTTCTAGCAAAAAATACTGTTTTTTTTTCATGTGGACAAAAAGGGGTTTATTTACTAAAGCTTGAGAGTGCAAATCAGACTCACTTCTGCATAGAAACCAATCATCTTCCAGGTTTCATTGCCAAAGATTCATTGAAGAAGCTGAGGTTAGAAGCTGATTGGTTTCTATGCAGAAGGGAGTCTGATTTTGGACTCTCCAGCTTTAGTAAATAAACCCCAAAGTGTCAGAAAAGGCTTGGTCTTCAGGTGGTAAGAAGAGTGAATTTTTTTTTTTTTTACGCAAAATTGTCACTTAAATGATTTATTGCTCACACATACCATGATTATATGTGTAATTGCTCCCCAAAATACATTATGCTACTTGTCTTGAGTATGGGGGTACCACACGTGAGAGACATTTTGGCAGTCTAGCCAAGTACAGGACCCCAAAATCCAATAAGCACCTTTAGGCTTTTAAAGGGCTTTATTTCCTGACTACCTATCACAGTTTCAGAGGCCCTGAAATGCCAAGATAGCACCAAACCCCCCAAATGACCCCTTTTTGGAAAGTAGACACCCCATGGAATTTGATAAGAAGCATGGTGGGTATTCTGCAGATCTCGTTTGTTGCCACAAGTTTTTGGAATATGAAGAAAACAAAAACATATTTTTTCTTTCCTTTTTTTATATTTCAAAACCTTGTGAGAAAAATTGAGATCTGCAAAATACTCACCATGCTTCTTTTTAAATTCCTTGGGGTGTCTACTTTCCAAAAAGGGGGGGTTTGCTACTATCCTGGCATTTCAGGGCCTCCGAAACTGTGATAGTGAGGAAGTGAAATGAGGAAGTTATGCACCTTCAGGATTTCAAAGTGGTCATTGGATTTCAGGCTCCTGTATGTGGTTAGGCTCCCAAAACTTCTCACACATGTGGTATCCCCATTCTCAGTAGAAGTAGCAGAATGTATTTTGGGGTGTAATTCCACATATACCCATGGATTGTGTGAGAAATATATAATTTTAAATGACAACTTTGTTAAAAAAAAAATGTTTCTGCCATCCAAAAACTTGTAAAAAAAAAAATCTTCCATGGACTCAATATGCCTCTCAGCAGATAGCTTAGGGAGTCTACTTTCCGAAAAGGGGTCATTTGGGGGTGTTTGTACTGTCTTGGTACTTTAGCACCTCAAGAAATGTGATGGGCTCTCAGAAAGTAAAAGCTGTGTAAATTCCATTATCTATACCATAGTTTGTAGACGCTATAACTTTCACACAAAGCAATCAATATAAACTTAGTGGGATTTTTTTAACCAAAAACATGTAGCAGAATAAATGTTGGCCTAAATTTATGATGAAATGTGAGTTTTTGGATATTTTTATGACAGAAATGAGAAAATATTCTTTTTTTTTTTTTAAAAAAATTTTGTTTGGGTACATCACTGCATGACCGTGTAATTGTCAGTTGAAATAGTGCAATGCTGAATAGTAAAAAGAGGACTGGTCATTAACCTCCCTGGAGGTATTCCCGAGTGTAGCTTGGGGTAAAGTTTCAGTACCACAAGCGGTAACCCCGAGCTACACTCGGGAATACCTTGCAGCGCTACTCCGGGATCTCTTCTTCCCTTACCTTGTCCTGCGCTCCCGCGATGTCCCTTCTGCAGTGTCCCCGGCAAAATCCTCCGGCTGATGCCAGCATCTGTCTTCCGGGTTCTGTTCCCTGCGACGTCAGGACGTACGGGGACGGAATGGCGGGAAATTTAAAAATGTGAAAAAGTGACATTCACTAAATACACTAAAATCACATAGTAAAACATTACTGTATCAAACCATTTCACATACATTTTGTCCCGAGGGCTTTGTCCTGTGCCCTGCCTGGAAACTTTCCATGGCGTCCAAAAAGCATTTGTCCTGTGCAATGAAGCAATGGTTCGGGATCAAGCCCGCACATGTGCCACTATAGGAAGTGGCTCCCTAGGGTGGCAGATGGACAAGGGGAGTAGACAGGAGCGCCTGCAGGGGACCCCAGGAGAGAAGCATCAGGGCTTTTCTGTGCAAAACCGCTGTATGTATGATATGTTTGTTATTTGAAAAAATAACAAATTTAAGATCACTTTAAACTTGGATGATTTAGCTCACTAGTATACATAACATAACAAATAGTTTTGGGCACCCCTTACAAACCGAAACATCTTTACCAACCAAATCAAATGATCAACTGAAAATACAACTAAATGTAACATACAAAAGGCTCAAGTCATAAAAGAATAACCAACACAATACTTTTATTACCATGTGGTATTCAGTTTTTTTACAGCTGAAAAATAGATTTCTCATTGTACTTAGAAGTAGAGTAAAATGCATTTTTTAGGACATTTTTGATACACTGTTGCATTTTACTATGAAGCACTTGTACATGGAATGTCCATATTTTGCATGCTTAATCTTTTATTTTTCCTTTTATTTTAAAGTATCATTAAAGCTTGGCTTTTTTTCCTTTAAAATAAGAAACATGTTACTGTATACTTACCTGCTCTGTTTTGCACAGAGCCCGATCCTCTTCTTCTGGGGTCCCCGACAGCACTCCTAGCTACTCCACTTCGGCGAAAGCCCCCATGGGTAGCTACTTCCTATGGGGGCACTCGTGCTGGCTTGCTTCTAAGCCACCTTGTCTGCGTCCATTAACACAGACAGTGCAGCTCAGTCCCACCACCCGCTCCCTCACCACAGAATTTGATTGACAGCAGTGCCATCAATCTGTCCAGTGAGGAAGGAGAGAACCAGGAGAACTGCTGCTCTCGTGCACATCGCTGGGTCAAAATTGGGCTCGGGTAAGTATAAGGGGGGCTGAGGGAACATAAGCAGCATAGGTTTTTACCTTGATTACCTTTATGCATAGAATGCATTAAAGTGTTACTAAACCCAGGACCCTGCATTAACCATATCTGGTCTCTCATATCAGTCTTGAGAAGGAGTTTTCTTTCTGCTGTAGGAGGATGCAAAACCCCTGACCTCTGTCTGGACAGTGCTGATTGGCCCTTTGCTGATCACATGCACTCTCCAAAAAAAAAAAACTCTTTAGCAATACACACTAAACTGACCATGTGCAGAAGAGCTATGGGTTTAGTCTGTCTTATCAGTGGCCATATGAACAAAGAGGAGGGGAAGAGAAAACAGGATAAAACATCCGTTTTACACAATGCAGAGGATTAACCCCTTAGGTTCCACAGTGAGTATAACAAGCATGCTTTACTGCATCTACAGACTGATTTTACTGTTGTGGGTTTAGTAACACTTTAAGATAAAAACCCTAAGGCTTTAGACCCACTTTAAAATGAAGAGAATTGTAGATGACTCACTAGAGGGAGCTCTGTACCTGAATTACCCTGATTCAACCTCTGAGCTTAATAACCACTGAAAAAGATATCAGCCACACAGGGAGTGCATTGTTTTTAAAGGTTTCAACTCTACTGAATTATCTCCAAAAAATTGCAAGCTTCAGTAAACCGAGTTTGAAAAAAAAAGTCAGTGCCCAGGACTACAATAGCAAAGAAACTGAGTCAAAATAAACCTCTTTTTTCCCCACAAAAAAGAGCAGCTTTTTACCAGGGCTTTAAAATTAACAACTCCTAAAACAAAGTATTTTGTCTAAAGCTTCATTATGGTGAGTAGGTATACTGTATGTGCTTGTCATCTGCCACCTGCCTAACACGCATTACCCTCAATATAGGAAACAAGTGTGGGGTGCTCATGCACTACAATCTTGCTGAATGGCTGCTAAGGTAGTATGCAAGCTGTTCTATGGATCAGGGGGGATGCTGGGGCTTTTTAGGAGCCATTTAAAGATGGTGTGAATCATGAAACAATAGAGTACCCATTAGATGGAAACTAGTTGGATTCATCATAAGATCTCAGTAGTAGACACTGATTTGCTCATCCGTAAACACTTCAGTGGTATGGTGTTAGTTTAGAATGTCAGCAGGTGTCAGTACAGATACAGTGAAAGGCCTTGAAAGAATCTGTCAGGATGGAAATATGGTAGCTGCCTTTGCATACTTGATTTAGAAATTGCAAGCTCCAAGACTGTCATCCTCATTATTCCTTAACTACTTGGTGAGCCACTGACCTGGAATAAACATGAGTGCATCAAGAATTATGACACCTCATATGCACATGCCTGTTCCAGGTAAGTGACTTGGCAAGTAATGAAGGAAATATAAAAATGACCTCACTGATTCATACACCTTCAGCAGCATTTGAGAGACTAACATATATACAAAGAAAATTTAATACAGTTACAGATTATTTAAAAATAAACACAATCACATACTGCTGGCTAATATACCCAAAGCTATACTAATCTTAGTCACCTGTAGTGCCCTGTACAATATGGACATGGTATGTACAACAGCACTCAGACTGGGGCGAGGAGGGGTAGTGGATCAGCAGTTTCAGCCAGTCAGGCACTACTGCTTTGTATAATAATGTCCAACTAAGGGTAGTTTTACAAGTGTATCTAAATCTACAGCTCCTTTGAAGAGCTATAGCATTCAGATTGCTTTTCAGAGGTGATTGACAGGCGATGAGGAGGTGATGCTTCCTCATCACCTGTTTTAAATCCATTTTGCCAACTAACATGATACATCCGTGTGCATTGCACATGGCTGCGGGGCATTTGCAGCACTTTCCCATTCGCTTGAATGGATCACCACCTGCTGATTGCAGCATGTTGGATAGTTTTTGCCATGGGCACAAAGCATTGCGACTGCAGCATGTCTGCTGCCGATTGCAGTTTAGGGTGGTAAAAATGCACAGTTTAGCCAACAACATGTCTTTATGAGGCCTAACACTGACAGTAGAAGATAACACAGTGGCTAAGTGGTTAGTACTTCTGCCTGACAGCACTATGGTTGTTGGTTTTAATCCCAAGCATATCACTACCTGCATGGAGTTTGCATGTTCTCTCTAATTATTAATTGGCTCCTGTCTAAATTGGCCCTAGTATGTGTATGTATGAATGTGAGTTTGGGACCTTAGATTGTACGCTCCTTTGAGGGTTAGGGACTGATGCATAATGTGTAAATTGTCAATGCTATATAAATATCTGTAATCAGGGGTGGACTGACCATTTGGAAACTCGGGCACTGCCCGAGGGCCCAGGGTCAGTAGGGGGCCCCATGAGATGCCCCCGGTACCTTTTTCATAGGCTTTTTTGAGTTTGGGCAAGGACACAGGGGCCCCATGATCCCCTATTGCCGGGGGGCCCCATGAGTTGTCAGTCCGCCCCTGTCTGTAATACATATTAACAGAATGATGCCAGTGTGCTACTGCACTGCAAACAGGAGGGAGTGAAGGGCCCTGCTGTGCTGGTCTAGAAGGGGTGTGCTGATCAAAAAGATTGGGCATTTGTTGGAAATTCTACTTTACCGTTGGCTTGTAGATATCAGTTATCAATCCAGCCTCTAAAATAATTGTATTGAGATTTACTGGAGAAAAGAAATTCTATTTGTTCTACATATAGAATATGTACATCATGAGAAAAACAAACACAGTGACAAACTGATATATTAATTAAAATGCAGTGCTTGGAGTTGTTGGGAATTATGCTGTCTGGGCTGAAGGAATACACAATCCTGAATGTGCTGAACAGAGAGTAAGGGTCAACAATTCCAGCTAGCTCAGCAAACGATTTTCTGCTCTTGTATTGATGTAGATGTGAAGATGTGGCCAGCTCTGTGAAAACTAGGAAACATTTCTTTATCTACAGCCAGGGCCACATTATTCTGTTGTGGTTTGGGTTTTATTGAGCTTATGCAAATCGACTGTTAGAGAGTCGAATATCGCATTGCTTATATTGTATGCCCGATCAATATCGATCAGTTAGGAAGTCTAGCTCTTGCTTCTCCTACCCGCCCTTAACTAATAAACAACAAGAAAGTGATATGCACCTTTCTTAACACATTTTGGTTATTTTGTCAGGTTTAAAGCTGCAGAATAATCTACATATATATTGCTTTTTCCACCCCTTCCCCCCCTTCCCTTCATCATCATCACATTATTAAATAAGACCCTTCCATTTTCTTTACAAACCTTACTTTAGATTTAGTTACCTAATCACTGGGTCTCTGTGCTTCTCTATGCAGTGCTGACAGCTTACATTTATATCATCATATCAAAATGCCTTCATGGATGGATGTCAGTCTGGAGGTATGGGCATTCCTAGACTGACTGCATTTGCAGTAATGCCCACATGTGATGCTGAACTTCTGCAATAGAAAGAACTGAAATGTAATAAATGAAAGAAGCTGCACAAAGACAGTAAGGCTGTGGACAAAAGAGCTAAATGATGCTGAATGTCCTCCAGCCAGTAAATAATGTGGGCTCTATCTGACTTGCTGCTGCTTTTAATGCATGTGAGAATCTCACATAGTGCAGTGAAAGTGCAGGGGAGGAGCCCGTACAATTGTGCAAGGCAAGACCGGAGTTCAGGTTTAACGATTTACAAGTTTACTGAATGTCCTATATGGCTGGTAAGTTCTCACATATGGGGTCCCTGTGTATGTTTTATGAAAGTTCAGAATTGTTTTTTCCATTTATCGGCTTCATGTGATTGTAAAGGGTAAAATGTTATTTTTAAAAACATGCTATGCTTACCTGCTCTGTGCAGTGGTTTTGCACAGAGCAGCTCCGATTCTTCTCTTATTGGGGTCTTCTGCCGGAGCTCCCATTCCCTCGCCCTGCCAAGTGCCCAGTAGCAAGCAACAGATAGATCGCAGCTCAGCCCCATCCCCCATGCCCTCCTCACTGGCTGTGACTGACATCAGCAGGAGCCAATGGCTCCCAC